AAAGTTAATTCAGTTACACACTTTATAGATTACCTGGTAACCAACAACTGATTTTTATTCAACTGCCACCTGTGACTGAGCTTAGATAATATGGACAATTTAAGCGGGGATGTAGGGAATGTTAGACTCATATGTGTCCATTCTGAATATGTTCAGAAGCTTCTAAAACTTTATCAAATGAGTACAATCTAATTTATTGAAGTTCTACTATGTGCTACAAACTATCCCAGCACCTTAATCCCATTTCACTAGTCCTCTCAAATGCCTTGTGGAATGGGTATGAATATAACCATTTATAAATGAGTAAACTGAAATTTCTAGAGCCATAGCCACATATTTACAAAACAAAAGAGCCAAGAACAGAATTCAATCATTCTGACCTTAAGGTATATTTGGTCTTTGAAGCATATCACATCATTTTTTTTCATGATGTCTTCAAGGTATGATAATAAATTTTACTTTATTTCTGGTTGATCTCCATTTGAAAATAGTTTTTAAACACTAATCTGTTTCCAGAGTCTTATTCAATATTAGCAATTTTATGGAGCAAACATTTACACCATAGAAATCTGACATTTAAAGCAAGCTTTCAGTTAATTTTTCTGAATTAAAGCATGTTCCTCCAATTGCCTGTTCATCTAAATTTGTGGTTTCTTACACAAAGACATACATGTCTATATACTAATGCTTTAAAAATAAAAATGCCAGAAAAGATCTTACCTTAGGTCTATATTTTATATGACTGTACCAAAGCAAAAAAAAAAAAATTACCTCTTTTTAGCACACCTGTTTCAATGTGTTGGATAATGTCGTAATCATTCAGCTTTTTGGCTCCTTATAAACAGTACCATTAACCACATATTTATCTCCCAGGACACTTACAATGACCTAAGGTAGGCATTGAGTTTTGGCTGAATGAATAAATTAAAAAAACCAAAAAGAAACCAGAAATTATATTGAATAGTTTATTTTTAAAAGCACCAATTATTTAGTTATTTTTAATATTTGGTGACACATAAAGCAATAGCAGTCATAATAGATAATGCACAGATATATAATATTCCCATTTAAGAATATGCAGACTAATCCCTAATTAGCTATTTCCTTGTTATGATAAGGAAAGATTAAATTTAGTACTTTTGTTTTTGGACAGTTTTTGATAAAGAAAGCCAAGAAAGGGGAATAATGCAAAGAAGGAACAAAAAGAACTCTCAAGAGGGTTGATTATTAGAATAAATCTGAGATAAATTTAAATATTTATTTTTATTTATTATAGAAAGAAAAGTATACTTGTGAAAATTAATGCTGAAAAACAAAGAGAATATTGCCACCTTAAGCTCAGATATCACACAAGGCCAGAACACTTGGATAATTGCTAATAAAACATCTGGTATTGATGCAAAATCCCACAAAGGGAGATTAAAGGTCTAGAAACATAAGTTTAGAAATACAGGAATAAGGTATTCTAGAAAGGAAACAATCTGTTTTAAGGCTCTCGTTGTGCTTCACTGCAATCAAGAATTATGGAATGCAATGGATACTCATAATGGGCAGAAGTCAGAAGAGAGTAAATTATATCTATTCCACTACATTTCTAATGTAGCCATCATTAAAAGGGAGTAGTTGCATGAAAGTAGGATCTTAGAATAAAATATTACAATTTTTCTGCCTCTGGATTTTAGGGTAAAAAAAAATCAATAAAATTTCTAGAACAGTCAACCTCCAATTTTGATTCACATGTAAAATGTTAAATAAAATTTATGAACTGTGGATACAGCTCAATTGGTAAGTGCTTGCCTTGCATGCACAAGGCCCTGGGTTCTAATCCCCAGCACCAGGAAAAAAAAAAAAAATGAGGGATTGGTTTAAATTCAGCTCCCTGCAGTAGACCCAACAGACCAAACCAAAATGGAGTTACTCATGCTGGAGTTCAATACTGACAAGCTAAAAACAAGTTGTTTATTTGACCTCCTAAGACTCTGGGGTTAGGGGGAGTTAGAAAAATAGCCAGATCCCCAAACAGGTCAGTTCTGGCTAACATGAAAAGGAAGTCCCTTCTAATTCAACCTTTACAGAAAAATAACTTTGAAATACCCATCCACTTTTTGTTCTGTTTCTGCTTTCCTTGGCTCTTTTGTCTTATAAAGCCAACCTCTTCGCTCAGCTCACCAGTATATTCTTTCATAAAATGAGGTGTTGCCCAATTCTACAATCATAAATAAATCAATTAAGATATTTAAAACTAAATTTGTTGCAATTGTCTTTGGAGAAAAATACAAAAACAATGTAACAATATAAAGTATGTAAAATATTATGGCTACTTCACTATTTTCAGAATTCTGTAGGTAGAAAAATAAATATCTGTGGGAAATAAAAATATTAACCACTCATATTACCTAATTAGATAATCACAAATTACCTAACTACCAAATCACAGTGCAAAATTAAGACAATATTTAAAATTTACACTTGTATAAATGTTGTATAATCCCACCTATCATGTTTAAAAAAAATACACTAGTCTCAAACACTTATATATCTTGAGGCAAATTCTCATCTACAAGGACTGTATAAGAAACATTTCTCAGCCCAAAACATTACATAATTAACATTTTCTGTATATTTATTTTTACTATTACTTTTTGCTCTACTGAGAACTGAACCCACTGTTACTCTACCACTAAGCTACATCCCCAGCCCTTTTTATTTTGAGACAGGGTCTTGCTAAGTTGCCTGGGCTAGCCTCAAACTTATGATTTTCCTGCCTCAGCCTCCCCAAAGCAAGGATTACAGCTGGGTGACACATGTTCGGCTTTCCTGGACTTTTAAAATCTACAAACCAAGAACTATAGTAAAATCTTGGAGAAACAGGACTTAGTCTTATATTAACATAGTCCTGTGAAAAAACCTCTAAAAAAGGATGTGACTCTGCAACATGTAATTGATTCTTCAAGAAATAATTCCTAAAATGAAAGTCAAGAAATAAAACTTTATGTATTTGAGTAACTTACTATGTACAAAAGAGTAGCTTTATCCTCTCATTAATATGTAATCTGACTTTCTAATGATAAACACATGCAAATGACCTGAAAAATATAAATATCTGAGAAAGAGACTTATGATTTAGCAGCTATATTTGCTTACACATTTTCTTAATACTATTGGTAAAAAAAAAAAAAAAAGAAAAGAAAAAAACACTGTCATAGCTAAGGGATCTTGTCCCAGTCTCCACCAGCACTGAAAATATTTACTGCTTTGTGGCTTTACCGCAACTGTGGGTACATAATAAGAATTACTTTGTGCCATAAATGAGGATAAAATCTAAATATGAATAATATTCCATTTAAATTATGAATTTTCACTTGCAGTTTGCATACCAATGACAATTGTGAATGATTCTCTCTATATGCATATCACTGACCCATAACAAATGCTTAAGTCTAATTTTCTTGTTCTAATTCTATTTGAAAAAACTGATCAATCTAAAATCTCCCATTCACATACTTCTGATTTCATTTTCTAAATGACAGAGTGCAGATGATTTTCTCACTCAGATGACAAAATTATGTTCATCAGGGAATATCAGAGTCATAGCCTAAGCTGCTGCTACCTGCAAAGTGCCAGGCTTGGTCCTGCGCAAAATACAAAGACAACTGACTGATTGGTAGAAAAAGAAGACATGCATAAACAACAATAATTTAAGGAAGTCTATGTGAAAGAAGCCATAGAATGTGGATGAGAAATACACTGATTCTAGCTAAAAGGAAGCCAATGTATCCTCCTTTGGGTAGAAGAAAAGGAAAAGTAATGGAATTCTATACACTTGTGAGGGAGTAAAGAGAAAATCTGTGATCATGCTCCTTAATAATTATGATTTCTTGTATTAGATATGGGCTGTCATGGTACATAAGGTAAGAATGACGCAGGGATAGGAATAGACTCCTGCTAGAGTAATGTCACATAAACTCTGTAGTATTAAAATGGCTATGGAAAACTGAGGTAGGCTGGGCTCTAAATATCTGTGCATAAGCGCCATAGTGGCACTTACCCAGATAAGAAGCCTCTTTTCTGCACAGTGACAGAAGTCACTTTATCAACTGAGAGGATCCAAATAAAATTTGGAGTTCAAAGCACACACAGGAGTGTTATAATTCCCAAAGTAACTTCAAAACTGAAGGAAAAATGAAGAGTTACCATTTTAAAACTCCTCCTCAAAGTTACTATACTAAGTAAATCTTTGCTAGTTTATAGCACTACACAGTGCTTTATTTTTCAGCCTATTAGGTAAATCATTGCAAAACTTTGTAGTCAGTTATCATAGTCTATAAAGGTTTGCATTTCAGACTATATTCTGCAAGAATACGAAATAGATGAAACTGCTGCCACCTGTACATTTTATATATTACCTTACACTTTTGACAACTGCATATTAATGCAGAACACTGCCCTCTCTTTTAATCTATTTTCTTTCAGTATGCCATAATTAAGACTTGGTCAATCAAAAATAATAATTAAAAAGGAGAGCTATTACACAAATCTAAAAAAAAAATTAACATTTTCTCAGCTTTAATGGAAAAAGTGTTGATATCTAGCAAACAAATCTCCCAAGTAAGAAATAAAAAAATACAAATGTCCTAATAAAGATGGGTAAATAGGGCATAAATATTTCCTATCTTCATCATCATATACAGAAAACAATATATAGTTCATTTTAATCACTGACAAAGCTACAGTTCCATGCGACAGACAACTTTCAGTGTCTTATTTTTAAGAGAAAAGGTTTACTTAAGATCCATGCTTTACCAGCTTTATAAATATGTCACAAGTACCAATAACAGAAGAGTATTTCATTTTACAGTGAAAAGATGTCAGAAAAATACAGCCATATATATGTATGTATATTTATGTAGGTAGAGATACATATATACACATCCCTACTTCAAAATAATTTGTCAAGCAAGAAGAAATTACTAAAGGGGATTATATTTGAAATAACTTACCTTACGCCCATCACTTGCATGGCAATTCACATTTAGAGGAGTCAGTAAAGCCATTAGTTTTTCTTCATTACCACTCCTATAAAAAGGTAGCAAGTCAATTTCTATAAAATTGTAGGAGTTTCTTATGAATATTTACGGATATTTTTTCATAAGAGAGTGGAAAATAATGGTTTGCTTTAATTCCTTTTGTATGGATTCCAATGAATCTCTTTTCAATATTCAAATTAGTATTTTCCCAATTAATTGCTGTTAATCATTTAGTGATACATCTTGGAAAATGCAGCTGTCAACATTTTTGTGTTATATATCTATACAAAGTCATCATCTTAATTACAAGCAAACTTTATTCTAATAAATAATCTAAAACACTAGAGTTTTAAAAAAATACATAGAAAATGTTGTAAAGAGCAAATCAACTAAACTACAACCAACCAAGATAAAACAATAAAAATTTTGACATTCATGTTCCTCATCTGAGGTTTGATAGAAAAAGATCTTCAAATGAAAATGAAGATATAGGCATTTATACACTCCAAGAATATCATTTGAAAGGCCAGGCAACTAAGGTTTGCAGGTAGCTTAAGAAACATTTCAAATAAAATTAACCTGATAATCATCACCAAAGTGAAAATTTTCATCATTATACACATTAATCATGTAAAATAAAGTATTCAAAGATTTATTATAAGATCTAAATTGCATTATTGCATAAAATCCAAGCAAGACAATAACATGCTACAATTTTTATAGACCTCCACCTGCCCTCCCCCTTTTTCTCTCTTAGATGCATTATACTCACTTAAAATGAATGGAATCACTTACCTAGCAGCTTCTAGGAGTTCGTCTTTCTTGTATTCACCTAGATGATTGCAAAATATCATGCTGTTAGCATTTGGCAGAAGACAGATTAAGAAATGCAGTAGGCAGCAAATAGAGAATTAAATAGAGAAGAACAGAAAAAGAGAGTCCACACCCCGCTGGGTGATGGAGCCGTGACGCTAGCCAGCTTGTGAAGGCAGCATCACCAGTGCCTTGGAGACGGGCAGCAAATTGACGCAGCTCCTTGTCCAATCCTCAGATGAAATAGCTTTCTTCAGACAACCAATGAATGCTAAATCTCGTGTCCAGAAACACATTCCCTCTGATAACAGCATGCCAGCTGAAGACAATGTCCCCTCTCCCCTTTTCTATTCAGGCTGTCACAGGATACTTGTGAAGCATAATACATTCTGAGACAAAAGCAAAATAGTGTGGCTTTTTAAAGGTACAAATTACCAATCTTCAAAAAAAACCTCAGTTTTATTTGTAATGACATGGAAAGTTTCTTTTTAATTAATTACCATTACTGAGCTTTATAGCTGTAGAATGCAAATATCAGAACCACGAAGGCTCTGCCTCGATAGGGAAGGTCTGTAGACTAGAAATACGTGAACTACGTACCAAATGCTATGAACCTCTTGGAAGCAGCGCTCCAAAACCAAAACAGGGAATACATTCTTAAATGGCAATAACATTCTAACACGCTTTAACCTTTATACAACTTCAATACCAAATTTTAACAAATAATTGAATGTATTTTTTAAAAGGAGGTTGGCATCTCTGCGGATAAGCAGATATCCAGTTATTTGATGTGGACAATTTCCCCTCCTATATTTTCACAATAGATTTAAAAATATATCAAAAACTGAAAGTAGAAATATTATTAAAAACCTTCCATAATAAATTTCTTAGGGTATTCAAGACCTAACAAGATATATATATATATGTTTTTTTTTTTTGCAAGCTCATTTGAAGGACAAGGAGTTTTAATAACACAGTGTTTATTCAGTCAATAAATAAGAAGAACAGCCAGGACTATGATTCAGCTATAATACACTGACTCAGTTTGCTGTATCATTAAAAAAATAATTATACAAAGTGTCTTAACAAATCATTATGTGAAGATATTAAGTACACATAAGAAAAAATTTTTAGATTAAATGAAAAGTTACAATTCTAATATGAAATAAGCTTAAATTCTTTTAAAAAATCTTAACATGTAAATATGAACTTTTTCACATTTTGTTTATGTTTTGCTATAGAATGCATTACATTGATGCAAATGCTATAAAGATACCTCAGGACCACAAAGTACATGTTTAAATTCTATGGCCCAGGATGGAAATGCAGCTCAGAGGTAGAGTGCTTGCCTAAGATATACAAGGCCCTGGGTTCCATTTCCAGTAAAACACACACACGAGGGGCGGGGGACATTATAACCCACTAATAGCAAAAATGCTTTAGCTTTAACTTCTTTTGCCTCATAATTAGGTTAAAATCTGTAAACTATAATCAGGAGTTTCAAATAAGGAGAAGTTATAAAATACCTCTTTTTTCCTTATAGAGATTTTGTATATCAATAAAATCATAGATTCAACAGTATACATCCATAAACTAGAATGCACAATTTCATAATCATAGATTTGGTTCTTTCAATTTCCAATTATAGTGTAAAAGTTATATTATTATATCTTCTAGCCAGTAAGACTCAAAGCTAAAAACCTATTTTCATTAAATATTTAAGGTAGCAATGTGGAAGTTGAACATTTTAGGTAAGAATATAGACGTTAGAAGTAAATTTTAAAAGCTTCTTGGAGGAAAATGGCATAACCCATACCCTCAAATGGCTGAAGAATAAATATATAAGTAAACCAAATATGGTATATATCTGTAAAAGTCATTCATTCATTTGAAAGGCCTACATGCCAGGTTCAAGAAAACAAAAGACAATAGTATCTCTGACCTCAAGGAATACTCTATAATTTTTAAAGAAGATGGACAAGTAAACAAATGATTACAAAAGAATATGAAAAGATCTTATAAAATGCTAAGCATTTACTGGCTAGTTTAAATGAAATTAGTAAGAGACAGGGTAACTGTAGTTTAAGAAAACCTTTCTGGAATACGGGATTGTTGAGCAGTGTGAAGGAAGAACAGGTGATTCTCAAGTGAACAAGGGTGGAGGAGACGGAAGCAACCACAGTAAATGAAATGAGAAAGGAAATGGTAGCTCTATAAACCTGAACAAAGGACACTTGCTGGGGAATGGCTGAGAAAGAGGCAGAGAATAAATGAAAAGATCACGTATGGCTCCATAAATTAAGAAGTCTTAACTTTATTTTGAAAGCAATGAATAAATACTGAGATATTTTAACAAGGAAAGTACAAAACCTATTTAAAGAGCTGCAAGTTTCATGATTACATAAATATTTTTAAACGTCAGTAAACTTTTGTAGGGGAGGAAAGTAGCCAGAAAAAGAGAACTAAATTCTGATACAATTTTTATTTTGGAGGAAATATAAACATCTCCAAATAGAGTAAAACACATTAACATTGTGAACTGGAAGTAGTTACTAGTGAAAATTAAGTCATAGTGAAATATGACTCCAATAAGCCAGGTAATAAAACTGCAGAGTACTTGGGGTCCTCAAGGTTCAAATCAGTCTATCTATGTAAGTGTCTCATCATGCATAGCTTATTGATGTTTTCACTAAAAGGTACATTTCTACAAAAATGTTATTCCTTCCTGGAGAAGCTGATAAGACCAACTTTGGAAAAGAAATATATCAAGGCATCTAACATAATATTACAAATGACTTTCTATTCTTACTGTTGGAGAGCCTAATACTTTAATCAGCTTTTCTGCAGTACATCCCAGCATCCACTATCTGGTGCCCAAGGACCACAATCCACAAACAACTGAAGCTATTTTTCAAATGCTACCTCTTAGGAACAACTGACATAATGAATTCAGAGCCCCTCATACACTCTGACAACAAATTTGAGCTACTTACTTAACAGTCAAACCTCCAGATCTATTTCATTTTAGCTGAGAAACTGAAAATATTCTGGCTGAGACTATGATGCTCTATGGAGCATTTACATTCTTTAATAACATCCAGATAAAGACTAGCAATAGATCAGCTAGAAAGGAAACTAGGCAATTATACTTAAGATAATAGCAGCCATAATGGAGATAATAGATGGCTTAACATTTTTTATTAGAATAAAGTGGGATTAAGAAAAATAAGCGAAAAAGTTTACTTTCTGAAGTCTGAATTGTCATTATTAGTCAAATAACTAATAATACATGTAAAGATAAACACCCCTATACAGATAGAAAAATTAATATTTTTTAAAACTCTGTTATCAGAATGAAGTTTAAAAATAAAAACCCTTTCACATTTCTCTGAGAGAGTCGGAAACAATCTTTCACTTAGTGTAAAGGCAAAATTACCTTCTGAATAAAAATGATTTTTTATTTAGTTTTAATATCATAAGGAATTTTTATCTGTTTCTTTAGCAACAGACAGGATCAAAGTAAGCTTAGTTTTGTAAAAATGAGTCATCTGATTTTGTTGGGATGGAAAAGCATGGAAAGATTATAAACATGGACTCAAACTCTTAAAGCAATAAGGGACTAAAAAAAAATTCTGATTTTTTTTTTGCTTTTCTCTACTTTCAAATCCCACACAATACATCTTGCTTTGTATAAAACACAGGGAATGCAACTTGAAAGTCACCTTTACCCATATCACCTCACCCTCAATTCAGGAAAGCTCTAAGGGATCATCTACAACATTCATTTACATTTAATGAAACAGTGCTATGGCAGTTAAATGGACTAAGATTAGATTATCTACTAATGTGGGGGTTAATAAGAGAATAAGTGAATAAAATTAATAAGTGAATGTTATCCAATAATCTGTCAGACCATGAACTTGGCTTATATAGTAGCATAGACTCACTAAATCTGGGCTTTGGAAGATGTGATATACAAAATAATAATGGCTAGAAGATAATTTTATGAAACAAAGACAATCACCAACTTTAAAAAGCTTAAATATATTAAAATAATAAGTCAAAAATTTCCATCAAAACTAAAAGCAGTTGAACTTTCAGATGAGCTTGCAAACATGGGCCACTGGGCCAAGGGAAAAGAATGAAGAAAATTCATTCTGGCTCTAGTCAAATGGTCAATATATTTTGCATTTCCCATAGCATGTTTTAATTCCTGGACTTATTAGGTATCTCGAGGGAAGAGCTATGTAAAGACTTCAGTCAAGAATCTCAATTACCAAGTTAATGTTGGGACTCTTGTGTTGCTAAGTGCTAAGCAGTATTATAAATTGATAATTCTGATACAGATTTTTTTTTCAAGGTACGAACAAATAAAGTAATTGATTCATGGAGCTAAACCAATAGCCCATTTGGGGAATAAAATATTAATTTAGGTGACATACTGCATTGCATTTTCACTAACAGATTTGAAAATTCAGAACCACCTATGTGGTTGTGGAAAGAATTTAGCTAAATAACCAGGAAATAATCTAATATTAACATGTTAAAGTTAAGTCTTCCACCAAAAGCAATTTCCAGACAGATATTCTACCATGAATGAATATATGAATTATTATTTTCACTATGGAATCTTTCATAAATATTTTCCGAACAACAGGGTAAAAAACTACAAAGCTACTAGAGCTCTCAATGTCTTTCTCCTACTTTTGAATTCTATCAAATTTTCCCACTTATTCTGATATTGGCTTCAAAGCAATAAGGCACTAAAAAAGAATTCTGACCTTTTTTTCCCTGAACTTATTAGGTATCTCAAATTAGTGTCAAAGCCAATCCCCAGTTAAGTCTAGAATCAAGATCAAACTAAACATTTCACACCCCTTATAAAATTCGGGGCCTTGGAACATTGGTTGGAGGGCCTTTTCTTCTATAGTCTCCTATAGTTTTGACAAATTTTAACATTAGTTAGCATTAAACATCAACTGTGCTTAATACCAACATATGGTTGACCAATATAGTATG